CTGGGACCAGATCACCCCAGATCGCCCGCAGGAAAATGGCCCGATCACATGCGATGCTTCACCCTCGGCGACACAACCTTCTAGACCCTTGGCAGGAACAACAGAAAACTTTTCCCCTCTTAGGCTAGAGGGAGGCTTTCTGTTTGTGTCTTTTCAGGAATTCAAACCAACGGGAGCTGCTTTATCCTCTGATATAGAGACAGGCAGGCAGCGTTTCGTTCGCTCACTTTTGTTTTTATTGTGATAGAATGCACATAACATAAAATTTACAGTTTTAACCACGTTAAGCGTGGGGTTCAGCGACATTAAGTGTATTCACGTTGTTGTGCAACTATCACCACCATCCATCCACCGGACTGTTTCGTGTAAAACCGAAACTTCACGTCTATTAAACAATAACTGTCCCGTCCCCTTCCAGCAGCCTGTGGTAGGGACCTCTAAGCTAGTTCAGTCTCTGTGAATTTGCCTCCTGTAGGTGCTCGTATATGGAATCACACAGTGCTTGTCCTCTGTGACCGGCTCATTTCACTGACCGTAATGTCCTTGAGGCTCATCCCTGTTGTAGCATGTGTCAGAATTTCCTTTCTAAGGCGGGATAATATCCCCCTGTGTGTGTGCAGCACATTTTCCTTGGCATTCGCCTGTCGTGGACACTTGGGTGGCTTCCACCTTTAGGCTGCGGCGAATAATGCTGCCCTGAGCATGGGTGTGCAATGCTTTGGGGTCTAGACCCAGAAGTGGATTAACTCGCTTTCGACATTGCATTGCCTGAACTGGGGAGGAGATATTTGAGAATAAATAAATTTCAAATGAAAGTAACTGTTCTCTGCTGTGCCCCCTAAAATCACCTGGGCTCCTTCCCCCCCCCCCCGGCCCCCCGGCAACTCCTACATGGAAAAGTTTTGTTGTTTCCCCAGGAGTCTTTACATAGAAAGGAAGTCGAAAGGGTCTCGGCCGTCTTACCCAATCCGCCCGAAAAGGGAACCCGGGTGACGAGTTCTTTAGTCAAGGTGGGTCAGTCCCCTCGCCGGAGGTCAACGAACCGTACGCGGGATTTTAGAGCAAAAGGGAAGTTTAGAAATCTCTTAGCCCAACCGTCCCTTTTGAGAGATAGGAAAACGAAGCCCCAGGTTGGCAGCTGACGTGGCCACAAGCTCAAGGACTCAAATAGGACTCGACCCCTGGGGGGGACACGAGGAGCCCCCTGCCCCCACGAACCCCGCAGGCCTGCTGTCCTGGCTCCCCTGGAAGCGGGGGCCGGGCCCGGCCTTGAAGGGCTGTCCCCATCCGTCCGTGCGGCAGCCCTGACTGAGATTCTGACTCAGGGTCAGGGGACCCCCTATCGGGATCGGGGTTTGCAGGGAGATGTTAACAGTGGCCTCCTTCCGGAGCTCCGATACCATCAGGGCCGCTGTTTTATGAAGAAATCCTGAGCTGCTTTCATAATCTCTGCTCTCAGCTCTTTCTCAGAGCGGGTGCGTGTGAATCAAAACCGAGTGGTTGTTAATTAACTACAGCATAGGTGATTGGTTCCTGTTTTTTTTTTTTTTTCCAAACTCGCCTAACTGGGGCCAAAAGGAAGTTCTTTGGGTCCACTGGGCCCCACCGTGGGCTCGAGGGCTCTGCGCCGGCTGTGCCGTCGTCGTCACCTCCCGGCTTAGGGGAGAGAGCCTGGGGGAGGCAGGTCGAGGGGTGCAGAGCTTAGGGAAGATCACTGGGACAGGCCCGAGAATCACCTTCCTCCAGCCGGGGAGCCCCTGAAACCGGGACCCCCTTGCTCCTTGTGTAAGTGAGAAGGCTTGGCCCGTGCTCGTGAGTGCTAGAAAGCGCCCTTGCCGTGGTGCCGCCCCCGGGTCGGGTCGGGTCGAGTGTTGACCTGGGATCTCCTGGGGCTCCGAGCCCCGTGGAAGGCCAGAGCTTCCGGACGGGGAGCCCGTTCCTCGCCTGCTCCTCAGGAACCGCTCTGGGACCTTGGGGGTGACAGCAGTGTGATTTCCCCCTCCCGCCCCAGCATGCAGCCGCCCGCCCCTCGTGCTGCAGGCGTGCTCCTCGTGCTCCTGGTGCTCCTCGCGCTGGCTGGCGCAGGATCCCGAGGCAGACCCCAACCGGCCGGCAGCCCCCGCCTGACTCTGCCATGTCCCTTCCCTCTCGAAGCCTCCGTTTTCCCGGCATGCCACTGCTTCCTGGCCCGGGCATGGGATTTGATGACAAAGGGCACAGCAGGCGGCTGCACCATTGCCTGTCGCCGTGTCCTCCTTGGCACATCAGCTCAGCAGCCCGGCTGAGAAATGACGGCCACTGCCCGGTACTCGCCCAGGCGGCACTGAATAGACGCCCGCCTGGCGGCCTGGGCCAGCCCCCAGCCCCCGCTCCTCCCCTGTGAGATGGGAGAGCCAGAGGGGCTCAGCTCTGGGCCACGCAGGACGAAAGGGGTGGGAACCAGGCCGCGGACACACCGCTCTGTAGGAGCACTTCCTGCCGCTCCGGCCCAGCGTTAGTGCAGACCTTTGGTTCTAGCTGGTGTCCTCATGCACTGTGTGTGCAAAAGCGGACCACCTTCTGATAAGCAGGCCAGGGCCCTGCTCGCAGAGACCCCCCAAAACAAAGTGCAAGGGGAACCCAGTGCCCCCAGCCCTCCCCTCGCTCATGGGGGGCCCACGCCCCTCCACCCAGGGTCTGGCCTCCCCAGGGGGTTTCCTGAGGTGCAGAAGAGTTAGAAGGGGGAAGGAAGGGGGTGTGGGGAGCCCTGGGGGGGCAGGGGAGGAAGACGTGTCCCTGGGAGATAAGGCTGTGGCTGCCCGGCCCGTGGGGAGACCAGCAGCCCCCAGCCCGAGCCTTTGTTCAGAGAGCGAGACTCTGACAGCAGGAAGGGACCCCAGAGGCCTTCGACCTCCCCCCTCCTCCTTATTTTAGAGCTGAGACACAGTCGGGTCTGGGGTGTGTCCCTGGCTCCCTGGGGACTGCTGGGGCACCAGGTCCAGGGCTCCAGCTGTCCTTTGGGCGCACCTGCTGTGGGCCGGCTGCTGGGACCAGTGGCGCTGCCGTCCTGAAGCTGCTCCTCAGGTGGGCAGAGATACGGCCGCCCCGGGACCGCGCTGAGCACCTGACACATGTGTTGACGAGAACTAGGGGTCCTTATTGCTCCCAGCAACCCCGCCAGGCTGGGTTGTGATCCCCGTGTATAGCAAGCAGAGGCTGGGCCTGGGCTTGTCCCCTGGGTGGAGCCGCCACAGCCCACACTCCCGATGTCCCCTCCGTGGGGCTCTGGGCAAGGGGGTAGGTAGCACTGGGCCCTGTCGGGGTCCCTCTTCTGCCTGGGCTGGGGCATCCCCTTGGGGAAGGGGTGAGTGCCGGGACCGTGCCCCGAGGGGAGAGCTCCAAGCTGCCTTTTCTAATCTCCCGCCTCCCAGCCTGCTCCTGGGCCCCGGCCTTATCGCCGTTGCTCCGCAGAGCTGAGGTCCCTTTTCCCGCCTTCTCTCAACCTATCGCCCCTGCAGGGTGGGTGGGGCTGGGCTCCCCGAGGCCTCAGGAATGGGACTGGCCTTGGCTGAACACTTCTTCTGAGCTTCGGCCTGGATGCAACGCAGCGGGTAGAAGGACAGAAGACCGAAGGCGTCACGGGCTGGGTGCAAGGATGGAACCATTCTGGGGCCAGGAGAGGCCCTCTGCCCCAGAGGGTTTGCAGGGGAAGCCAGGAGTCCCGGGGGAGTCAGGTGGTCCATCTCTGCCACTGCCCCACCCCCACCTGGGGCTATGGGCAGGTCCCTTGACCAATGTGGTCCTCCATTTCTCCACCTGGCCCTCTGACCAGCATGCTCAGTGACATTCTGGGCTGGGCTGCCCACTGCTCAGCTCCTGGAGTTGGCTCGCATTTGCCCCTTCCTCTGTCCACAGAGCCTCAGGCCTCCAGGTGCAGTGGAGGGGGGGGTCCTTGGGCCCCTCCTTCTGGGGATCAGACGCTAGGCTGGGGCTGGGGACGAGGTGCAGTTCTACTCTGGCCGCCGCCGCTCCCAGCCTGCTGGACAACGTGGATTTTCAATGGAGGTGCCCCTGGCCTGCTGCAGCCTCTCTGCCAGGCCCCGTGACAGGCACTGCGCACATAGGATGCTCTCGTCAGCACCGCAGTCCTGCACGGCCCACCCTGCAGAAGACGAAATAGGCCCAGAGAGGTTAACTGTCTGCCCCAGACGGCACAGCCCCTCTTTCTGTGGCCTCTGAAGGTGGTTCCGCTGGGACTTGAATGCAGCTTTTCTGCAAGTGGGGTCCACAGTGTGCCGCGTGTGGGGCCCGCTGCCCCTGCCCTCCCCTGTCTGCGCCAGTGCAACTCGGGGCGTGCCGGTGGGAGCGGGCGGCCCTGCGGTTGTCCAGCGGGAGAGCGCATCAGCTTCCCAGCCAGGTAGCAGCGGGCGGGGTAGGATGCGTAGCTGCCGTAACAAAGTACCACACCCCCGTGGCTTGGAAACAACAGAAGTCTGTTCTCTCGTGGTTCTGGGGTCTAGACGTCCAAAATCGGCTCCTTCTGCAGCTCCAAGGGAGCATGTGTTTCATGCCTCCGCCGGCCAGCCCGGGCGGTCCTCGGCTGACAGAAGCAACCTCCAGTCTCCCTGCCGCTGTCGTCACATGGCGTCCTCCTGTGTGTGTGTGTGTGTGTGTCTGCGTCTGTGTCTCTGTGTCCAGGTTTCCTTCTTTTTATGTTTTATTTATTTATTTTTTATTTCGGCGTATTATGGGGGTACAGATTTTAAGGTTTCAATAAATGCCCATTCCCCCCTCCCCCCACAAGTCTGAGTCTCCAGCATGACCATCCCCCAGATGGTGCACATCTCACTCATTATATATGTATATACCCGCCCCCCTCCCACCTGCCCAATACCCTATTACTGTAGTACCTATGTGTCCACTTAGGTGCTGCTCAGTTAATACCAGTTTGCTGGTGAGTATATGTGGTGCTTGTTTTGCCATTCTTGGGATACTTCACTTAGTAGTATGGGTCAGGAAAATATAAGATGTGCTATATCACCGTTGTTTCTGAGAGCTGAATAGTACTCCATGGTATACATATAAGCACCCAAGTCACATTGGATCTGGGGCCCACTCTAACCCGGTACGCCTTCACCTTAACTCGATTACATCTGCAAAGAGACTCTCTTTCCTCCCCTGAGGTCCCGCCTGCAGCTTCCCAGTGGGCGTGCACCCTGGGCGCGGGGCGTTATTCAACCCACTGCCGCTGGTGTTTGGTCTCAGGACGAGGCTGTCAAATACGGAGGCGCGTTGTCCTCTTGTCCCTCCTAACTGTCCCCTCTCTCGCCCCGCAGGTGTGGGGTGCGCGCTGAGATGCCGCGCTCCTTCCTGGTGAAGAGCAAGAAGGCGCACACCTACCACCAGCCCCGCGTGCCGGAGGATGGCCCGCTCTGGCCTCCTGCCCTCCCGCCAGGTGAGTCGCCGCAGCCCAGGCTGGGCCCTCTGCCCGGCGTGGTGGGGAGGCGGCAGCCTCTGCCTCTCCCAAGACTGGAGGCAGGGCTCAGTCAGTGTGGCCGAATGAATGAATGAACGATGCACTTGTGTCCCGGATCCCTTAGGGTGGTGGGAGACTGGATTGGAGCGAGTGCTCAGGTGCTGACATGCAGGGCCTAGCTGGAGGTCCGGTCTAGGGCTGGGGTTGGGGTGCTCGGAAAACCCAGACCGGCCCAAGAGCTCTCAAGCCCCTCCTGGCCTCTCTCCCATCCCCCAGCCTGGGCAGAGCCCCCGGCGTGAGCAGCGGCAAGGGGGTCTCTCCCTGAGTCCTCCTCCTTCTAGGGAGGGAGGGCCCCTGCCCCACCCCCCGGGGCTCCCCAGAAGCCACAGCTTGTGACTCTGCTGCCCTTGTCTCCCCGCAGAGGCCCGGGACCAGGTCCTGGGCAGCGGCCCCGTCCTCAGCACGATGTTCCCAAGCCGGTGCCTCGACTGGCCCAACCTCAAACTGGAGCCGGAGCAGGACCAGAGCCTGGCCAGGGCAGCCTCGGCACCGGGTACCAGCCCGGGACCCCCGGCCACTCCCAGCAAGGGCGGGCGGGGGGAGGAGGAATGGTCCCCTGCCGCAGGGCCCCTTGGGGCTTCGGGGTCGGGAAGGACCCACAGAGTCACCGGGACGCAGCCCGGGCTCTCTGGCTTCTGCTGGGACCTCCCGGCTGGGGAGCTGCTCCCGGAGGAGGGCATCTGTGGCCAGGGGGTTGGGGGTGGGGAGGTCAGAGGGCGCAGCTGGGCGGGCCCACGTGGCGGGTGAGGTGGGCACCCAGGGGTGAGGGCGGACGTGTTTCCGGGCTGGAAACCTGAAGAGCCACAGACGCCCGCGCAGCGAATATCTGGGGTCACGCGCTGCACCCCCCAGCATGCGGCCACCAAGGTGGTGGCGGGTGGTGGAGGATGATGGGGAGTAGGTGCCCCATTCTTAAATGAGTCACCAGGCATGTGTCCCTATCTCCGCAGAAGTCCCCACTGTGATGTCCCGACCCCAGGACGGGGACTCGCCGCTCTCCGACTCGCCCCCGTTCTACAAGCCCAGCATCTCCTGGGACACCCTGGCCTCGTCCTACGGCCACGGCTACCGGCAGGCCCCCTCCACCATGCAGTCGGCCTTCCTGGAGCGCTCCGTCAGCCTGTACGGCAGCCCCCTGGTGCCCAGCGCCGAGCCCCCCCTGGACTTCGCCCTCCGCTACTCCCCGGGCCTGGAGGCCTACCACTGCGTCAAGTGCAACAAGGTGGGCAGCTGGGGCTGGGGCGTGTGCCCTGCTCTGCACCCCACCCTCCCAGCACACAGGCGGCTGCAGAGGCTCCCAGCGGGGTGTTCCCTGTGCCGTGAGCCTTGAGACCCTGGTGGGATCAAGGATGCAGAACGTTCCTCTCATGACCCCGACCCTGTGCTGAGCATTTGACATGCGTGAGTCCCGGGAGGCAGATAAAGGGCTAAGGTTCAGAAAGGTTAAGTCACTTTCCCAAGATCACACAGCAAGTACGTATCAGAACCAGCATTCAAACCTGACTCTGGCCAATGCCCAGCCTTTCACCACCAGGCTATTCAGCCTCTAGATGGGCAAGGAGGGGCCTTCCAGATCCCCTCTCTCAGCTCCCACTATATAGGCAGGAAACAGCCACAGAGAGGGCGAGGGACCTCCCCAGGACACACAGCAAATGAGCAGCAGGACCAGCCGTCCAGCGCCTCTTCCCTTGTACGCTCATCCTTGGCGGGAGCTGGGCACGGAGGGGGCCGTGGCCCCCGGGCCTGCCTCCCGCCCTGCAGCCTCCGGTGGCCTTCTGCTCTGTCCCTGCTCCCAGGTGTTCTCCACCCCGCACGGGCTCGAAGTGCATGTGCGCCGCTCCCACAGCGGGACCCGGCCCTTCGCCTGTGACGTCTGCGGCAAGACCTTCGGCCACGCCGTGAGCCTGGAGCAGCACACGCACGTGCACTCCCAGGTGGGCAGCCGGCCGAGCACAGGGCCCCAGCCCCACTCCCGCTCTGTGCTCCCTCAGGGAGCCTGGGGGCTGTGTGGGTCTCTCCCCCTGCCCCCGAGGGTGACATGGGATCTCAGGGGTCCCCTACCTCCTGCCTCCCTAAGTCTGAGTCTCCAACACCCGCCCTTAACACACTTGGGTCTCTGATAGACCGAGCTGGCTTCACTTACAGCTGGAAGAGCCTCTCGCCCTGGTGGGATTTCGGGGGCGGCTATATGTCTGTGACGGTCAGAAATGACCCTGCCCCCTGGGTGGCCAGGACAGGTGTCTTCAGCTTCGAGGCCCTTGGTTCTTACATCTTGGAGTTAGGTTTAAATATCCATCTCACCCTCCTTAGCCCCACCTACGGCAGGGACCCCCTCTTTAGTAGCCCTTCCAGGGAGGGCACCTGAAGCTGACATGGGTCGCCAGCACCTGGGTGGGCCAGGCGGGGGACACTCACGAGAGCCGGGGCTGGAGGGCACCACCACGTGTCCACCGGCACGCCTCCAGCTGCACTTTGAGGTCATCGCTATTGCTGTCCCATTGTACGGACCGGGAAACTGAGTCTCAGGGAGGTCACCATGACTTGCCTAAAAGCATGTGGCTGCCGAGAGGCAGAAGCCAGAATTGAGCCTCAACAGTTGAGACTCTTAACTCACGCTCCGTGCAGCCCATGAGCACCCCCCACCACGTGGACCTCACCCTGGGTGAGCGATCATGAAACGTGAACCCCTGAAAAAACTCCCAGCTCAGTTGGTCCACCGGGCAGTCAACAAACATGCGCCGAGGCTTATCTTGGGTAGGATAAGTGTGACAGTCACAGGGAAAACTCGCACAGGGGGCCCGTCAGGCTCCGGGTCCCATCCGAGAGGCAGGGATCGGGCGGGGGTCCCCGTCCTGGAGGCCTCCCCAACAGAGTGTCCTGTTCCTCAGGGCATCCCGGCCGGGTCCAGTCCTGCGCCCAGCTTGGCACGCCCGGGCCGTGAGGCCCCGCCTGCGCCTGACCCCCCAGGGCCTCGTTTCCCCCGGCAGGAGCGCAGTTTCGAGTGCCGCATGTGCGGCAAGGCCTTCAAGCGCTCGTCCACGCTGAGCACCCACCTGCTCATCCACTCCGACACGCGGCCCTACCCCTGCCAGTTCTGCGGCAAGCGCTTCCACCAGAAGTCGGACATGAAGAAGCACACCTACATCCACACCGGTGAGCCCGCCGCCCGCCCGCGTCCCCCGCCCGCCCCGCCCGCCCCACCCAGCGTCCGGACAGAGCGGGGGGCGGGGGCTGGAGGCTGCTGCCTCTGGTTCCCCTTGGGGCTGGGGTGGGGTCTAGTCACAAAGGGGAAGCCACCGCTGGCAGAGGGTGAAGTCCTGGAGATGGAATTCCGGCAGGGCAGGGGCGGCAGGCTGGCCAGGATGCCCTGACTCCCCCCCCCGCCCTTGCTGTGCTGCCCCCAACCCCCACCCCACAGGTGAGAAGCCACACAAGTGCCAGGTGTGCGGGAAGGCCTTTAGCCAGAGCTCCAACCTCATCACGCACAGCCGCAAGCACACGGGCTTCAAGCCCTTCAGCTGCGAGCTGTGCACCAAGGGCTTCCAGCGCAAGGTGGATCTGCGGCGGCACCGTGAGAGCCAGCACAATCTCAAGTGAGGCTGCGCCAGCTCCTGGCACCCGGCCAGCCTGCCCTGAGGTCCTGTCACCCGGAGGCCAGACTCACGCACCCAGATCGCCAGTCTCCTGGAGATGGCTCCGGAAATGAATCTTTAAGCTTATGTTGAGACTCATGAAATTGCTGTGTGTCTCTGGGCAAGTCACTTTCCCTCTCTGGCTCAACATTTCTGCTGCTGCAAAGTGCAGGAGCTGGGCTGGGTCTTCCGAGCTGAAGTTGCCTACAGGTGTGCCCAGGTGCTTTCTTCTGGCCGAGCGCAGGAAGCGAGAATACCCCCAGGCAGACGGGGATGCCGTGGACAGACCAGAGCTGGGCCCCACGGAGACATCCTCCCCTGTCTGTTGCCCACTGGGCTGGGATCTGGTCACCTTGGATGTTCCGGGCCTCTTTCTGGCTGCGACGGATGGTCAGAGCTGCCTCCTGCAGGGGATGGTGCCCCCCTGCTACAGCCAGCTGGGTCCCCTGTCCCCACCGCTGCCCAGCGCTCAGCCGGCCACAGGGATTCCAGCGCTGCCATCAGGCCACGGGTCTGCAGAAACCAGCGGTTACTGATGTCAAAGCCTGTTCCTCTCCACTGCTGTACATGAAAATAAAGACAGATTTGTTTGCATGTGAGCCGCGTCGCTAAGCGCCTGCCAGGTCCAAGATACTGCCCGAGGCTTTGCGGAGGGGCCCCGGGAGCCCCCAGTAGCGGAGAAGGCTGTGGGAGGGCCGCAGGCACGCTGGGAGACCTGCACACGGCCATCCTGTCCAGGCCACGATGAGAGCTGCCACAGAGGCGACAGAACCCCCCAGTTACAGGGTTAGAGCAGCAGGGCCAGGTCAGTTTCCTGTTGCCGTGGTAACGAACGACCACAAACTTAGCGGCTTAAAACAACACGGAGGCGTTCTCTTACAATTCTGGGGGCCGGAACCCCAAAGGGGTCTTATGGCCAAAGAGGGCAGAGCCTGTTTGCTTGTCCTTTTCAGCTTCTAGACTCCGCCTGCCATCCCGGCCCAGGCCCCTTCCTGTGTCTCCAAGACACTTCACTGCAACCTCCACCTCCGTCGTCCCCTCTCCTTCTCCTGCCGCGTCCTTCTTGTCTCCCTCTCATGAGGGCCCTGCGATGACACCAGGCCCCCCTGGATAATCCCGGAGAGTCGTCCCATCTCGAGGGGACGCAGTCACTGTGGTGGGCTGGATCTCGGCCCCAAGGGTGAGGTCTCCACCCCAGTGCTGGGACCCGTGTCACCTTGTATGGCAAAGTGCACGTCACGGCTCTGCCTCGCTGGCTGCGTGGCCTCGGAGGAGGCCCCGATACTCTCTGGGGCTCAGCTCCCTCCTCTGTGGAACGGTGAGCCCAGCAGCCCCACCACGGATTCGCTGGGAGCAGGGGGAGGTGCTGCCACGGCGTGCACGTGCCCCTCCAGGTCCCGCCCGCAGGGCAAGGCGCACCCGAACGCCGCCTCCCCCCCGGAGTCTCCCTTGGCCGTCCAGCCGCAAGTTCTCTCTCTTCTGGCACCGAACCACTTGGGCTCCCTGCTCGCAGCCTAGGAGCCACGGAACGTGGAACGGCGTGGTCTGTGGGCAACTTGCCCCTCAGTAGAAGGTAGTCCCCCCCCACCCCGGGTGCCAGCCCCCGGCGCCACGGACACTTCTGAATGAACCATTCGCAGGTGCTGAGTGGCCGAGGGTTCCCCGCAGTCTGTCACCCCACATAACCCTCCACAAGGGAGGTGTCATTATCCCATTTTACAGATGAGGCAACTGAGGCTCAGACAGGTCAGCCATAAAAGAATGCGGACAGCAGGGCTTACCCTTTCCCAGACAAAACAGGATATTGACAAAGAAATGCTGTCGCTGTCAGGTGATGGAGCCTTGGGTTCCTGAGCCAACTTGACTGAGGTGTGTTGACCACACAGAGGCTCGTGAGGCTCAAACGGCACATGGTGACCTGCCCCAGCAAGGGCCCAGGTCCCGCCAGCAGTGCTCGGTTCACACATGGGTCTGCCTAGAAGCCGTTCGTGTGGATCGTCTGGTCCTTCCTGCCACGGGAGAGCGAAGGACACGTCCTCGGCCTCGTGCCCATGGTTGCAGAGAGGACCTGAGCTGGCCGGACGTGCCCCAGACCAGCCCGGCGCCCCAGGTGTGCCCCACAGGCCTGCAGGGTTCACCTGCTTTACAGAGTAGAGACCGCACTGGTCAAATGACTCTGGGGAATTCCGGGTTACCGTTAAGTGACATCCTTTATTGAACTGCTTTTTAGAGCCAATAATGTGTACCGCACACCTGTCCATCTCCACGGGGAGGATCTGGGTATTCAGTGTTTTTCTAAGATTTAATTTGGGAACAGAGAGAGAGGAGTAGGGAGAGATTGGCTTCCATGCCCAAGGTCATGCATGCAGCAGGCAAGGGCAGAAGCGGGGTCAAGAACATATTCCAAGTCTCGGCTGTCTCCCTGAGCCTCCCTCCCACTGCGACCGACGTGAAGGCAGTTCCTCCAATCCTCTCCGCTGGGGTGGGCCTTTGAGGCCAAGGCGCCTGTCTACAGCCCCACAGAACGGCAAGTCCTAGCGACACCCAGCTGTGTTCGGCTGGCAGGACCCTGCCATGCACTTCCTTCCAGAAGTTCTTCCTGCTGCAGCTATGCCAGCCTGCCAGGGGTGCGGGGCGGTGGTGACTACACAGCAGAGTGGGCTGGCCACCTCCCCCGGCTCCCTGCTGCTGTCCCGCCCACCCAGCTCTTGAAATTCGGGGAAGAGGGACTCTAGCGGCCAGAGTCTCAGAGCCAGCAGAGCTTTGGGGACCTCCTGTTCCCACCCCTCCTTCTGTCCACGGGGACGGTGAAGCCCAGAGAGAGGAAGGGACTTGCCCAAGGCCACACTGCAGGGGCTTGGCCGGGAAAAGGCTCCCAGCTATCTGGTGAGGACCTTGCCTTGCACCGCCCGGGGGAGGGGGCAAAGTGCAAAAGTGGGGGCTGGGGTGCTCAGTGCCCCTTACACACACACACACACTGCTCAGAGTATCTTACACACACAGTGCTCAGTGTATCTTGCACACACACACACCCCACACGCACCCAGGGGTGGGAGCTGCTTTGCATGCTCCTTGTTTGCTAAACAAAACCAGACCAACATCAGGATTTTAGCCCCTTGTGCGGCAGGGCGGGGCACGGGGCTGAGCTGCAAGGGGCAGCCGGGCAATGCTTACTCATCACGGGCTCGGGTTAGCGGGACCCGGTTGAGCTTGTCTCGCCCCTCCACCGTGTGGCCGCTGCAGTGTGCGTGGCGTGCGGGGTGAGGTGGGGGCCACAGCAACCTCAAAGCAGCGGGGGCTGGAACCCCATGTGCACATTGCAGTGAACCGGGGCAGGTCGTGGGGAAGCCCCTGGAACCCGCTTCTGAGAAGATTCAGCCCCGGCTGGAGAGGCTTGCTGGGGGCACCGTGTCCCTACGGAGGCAGTGGCAAGGGCTGTGGGGGTCGCCGCCCCCTCCTCGTGTTCTGCAGGGCTGCCGCAGCATGGGCCTCCCAAGCAGAACTGGCCATGCCCCGAGAAGGCAGCCCCTGGAGACGGGAGCAGACTGGGGCGCACCAGCAGGGAGCGGAGTTCTCCGGGGCGTTCTGTCTCCTTCCGGACGCAGGGCCTGTGTCATCACATGGGAGGCGACTCTGTAGGTGCAGTGGGGCACCCCCATCTGTTGTCTGGGACTCGAGGGGACTTCAAGCCCCCCCATTCTCCACTTCCCATCGGCTCCCCCCCCCCCGCTCCCCACTTGGCCTGAAGTTTCTGCTACTGAGCCACGTGTGAGCCACGGGTGAGCCACGTGTGAGCCATGTGTGGCCTGAGAGGGCACTGAGGGCTGTGAGGACTGGCCGTGGCTTCCGTGTGCCACGCAGGGAACCAGAGGCCCACAGAGGGGAGGTGGTAGCCCCAGGCCACGTTGGCAGTTGGTGGCAGCGTCAGAATCTAGTTTCACCCTCAGTCTGCGGCCTTTCCACAGGGCCACTGGACCACAGGGCTCCAGGGGGCCCCATTTCCGTGGAACGTGGCCACGTGGGCGACACCGGCTCCTTAGACTGCGGCACCGACCCCAGCGGGTGTGGGTGGGGTGTGCGAGGTTGGCACTGGAGACTCGACTTGGAGTGTCAGTTCACTCAACGGTAAACAACAAAACCAGTATTTCCACGTTAAAACTAACCAGCCATGTCAGGGAGGGAAACGCAACATGCGAACTGATTTTCAGATGAAATGTCCCGTTAGAGGTGACAGCTTCGGGCTGCCTCTGCAGCCCCTGCACTTTGCATTCCCTGTGCAGGGAATGTGGGGAAGACCCCCCTACCCCCCACCCCTCCCCCTGCCCCCAGGAGCTGCAGAGCTCCATGGAAAACACCCATAACGATGGAAATGCAACTCCCAGGGTCAGCCCGGAGGTGTGCGTGCGTGCGTGCGTGCGTGCGTGTGTGTGTGTGTGTGTGTCTCAGCTGGCCGTCCCCGTCTGCCCTGACCGTGTGTGCTGGCCTGCAGGAAGGGCGGACAGACTGAGGCAGGGACTGGGCGCTGGCGGGGTCCGGGCAGTGGAAGGGGGCAGGGTTCTGTATGACCCGGAAGTTCCCTGGAGGCCAGACCCCCATCACCCAGAGAACTGGGCCCTAGCTGCTCGCTATGACCTGGCCTTCACGGGTGACCCCGGAACCCTGACTGCGCAGCTCCTGCTCCGTGGGGTGTAGTGATGTCCACCCCCAGCGGGAAGCAGGCAGAGCATGGCGTGGGCGGGGGGCGGGCAGCTGAGGAGCCATCACGCTTGATAGGGACTGTGACCCGGAGACCAGGTTAAGAGGTTGATGGGAAGTGACCGATGCTGGCGGCGTGCTAGTGCGCTGTGACAACACACAGCCGTGTCTGAGGATGCTGAGACAGACAAACCTGAAGAAAGCCCACGGAACCAGCGACAGCAGTTGTTTCCGGGGCTGAAAAAGAGGGCTGGATCTCACCCTCAGTGCTGCCGACAAAAGCAGCCTGCATTGGTTGTGTGTTTTTTTTAACTAAAACAAATACAAGAGAAAATAGTTTTGCAGAATAAATGTATCGATGGAGGAAGCTATTCAGATCTTCAGTGAAAAAGTGGTTTCGGCCGGGCGCGGTGGCTCACACCTGTGATCCTAGCACTCTGGGAGGCCGAGGCGGGCGGATCGCTCAAGGTCAGGAGTTGAAAACCAGCCTGAGTGAGGGGGAGAGCGAGACCCCGTCTCTACTGAAAATAGAAAGAAACTAATTGGCCAACTAAAAATATATAGAAAAAATCAGACGGGCATGGTGGCGCATGCCTGTAGTCCCAGCTACTGGGGAGGCTGAGGCAGGAGGATTGCTTGAGCCCAGGAGTTTGAGGTTGCTGTGAGCTAGGCTGATGCCACGGCACTCTAGCCCGGGTAACAGAGAGGGACTCTGTCTAAAAAAAAAAAAAAAAAATCAGTATACAGCCCGTGATTCCATGTTGTTAATTCTATGCTCGCGCACGGAAGGAAGTGTGCAAGGATAAAACTCAGTGTATCAACAGCAGCTGCCGAGTAAAGGGGGTTGTGCGTATTTTTTCTTCCTATTTTTCAGTGTGTGTATTTTATTTTTCTGTAATGGGCATGCACGATAACATTATCACGGGCACTAGAAAAGAAAGACTCTCTCAGCTCAAAAATAATTTCCTGGCCTGAAGGTTTGCCTTTCTGGCCCCTCCCTCCAAGCTTCCGGCCCCTCCAGGCCCGGACAGGTGCACGGCTCCGTGCACAGGTGCCTTTCTGCTTGGCAAGTGCTGGCGGCTTGCCCCACCCCCCTCCTGGGAGCCACCTTTGGGGCCAGCACCTAGTGGGTCTCTAACAGGTTCAGGATGGACGTGCAACCCCCTCTGCTCCTTCTTGGCAGCTGGGGCGGAGCAAGAGTCTGGCTCAGGAAGGGAGGGCGGCGTGGACGCTCGGTTCTCCCCCCTGGCCTGGGGCAGGGGCTGCCCCACACGGCCTCCAGGGGTGTCCAGCTGGGGCCTGGGGTCCCCGGGGCTGGGGGACTGCAGGAAGGCAGCAGGAGGGAAATCTGGGGCAGAGCATGTTCCAACCCGGCCGTGCTCAGGTTTGGCCTGATAAGTTTATCACCCGGAGCCGGCCGCCGACCGTTAGCCTGGAGCAGGCCCGCGGGCCGGGCAGCAGGGTGCTCCCGGGCCGATAGCGCCTTCCAAGCCTTATCAGGGACCTGGTGGCCCAGAGAGCGGGAGAAGGGGAAGAGAGGAGAGAGAGAGAGAAAGAGAGAGACTTCCACCTACTGCACTCAGAGGACAAGAGCCAGGGAGGAAGAGGCCACCGAGGTTCCTCGGGGGGCCCCTGATATAGCACAGCCTCCAGCCAACGCCACCGGAATTTAACCCGGTCACAGTCTTCCGGGCCACTGAACGGTGCTGATGCGTCGCGGCTCTTCTGCAAGAAAAATCCCCTTTTCTGGAAGGGGCCGGTGCCCCCGAGCC